AAATCTTAAAAAAAAAATAATTTCCAGACATGGGGTATTACAATGCACAAGCGCTTGAGCTCCTTATTTGGAACTTGCCTTGTTTCCAACCCTATAAAGGATTGCCTTTACTTTTTTAAGGACCTGAACCTGTTTGGGACTGAAGGTTTCAGGTCCTAACAAAACATAAAACTCAACTGGGGCCAGCTGGATCTTAGACTTGTGGGTGCAGAAGTAAGAGAAACAGGCAGGAGAAGTCTGGCATCCGAAACAGGGAACATCACAGAACCGTCAAAAGCCCATACCTCGGGGTGGCGCAGTGGGTTAAAGCCCCGGCACCCCACATGGGCACCGGTTTGAGTCCTGGCTGCTCCTCTTCCGATCCAGCTCTCTGGTATGTCCTGGGAAAGCAGAAGATAGCCCAAGTCCTTGGGCCCCTGCACCCATGTGGGAGACCCGGAAGAGGAAGAAGCTCCTGGCTCCTGCCTTTGGATCAGCTCAGCTCTGGCTGTTACGGTCATTTGGGGAGTGAATCAGTGGGTCGAAGACCTCTCGCGACCTCTCGTTCTTTCTCGCTGTCTCTATCTCTGGCTCTACCTTGCTATGTAACTCTGTCTTTCAAGTAAATAAAATCTTAAAAAAAAATAAAAAATAAAAAATAAAAAGCTCATGCCTGGCCTTTGGTGGGTCTTAATGAAATGCCACAGATGCTTAAGATTTTTATATAGAATCCAGTGACACAGAGTTTAGTGAAATCAGAATAAATTGATTTTACTATGTTAAAAATATCTGAAGTCAAAGGTTTGGAGTAAAACAGAACAGGGCAAACTGACTGAGAGCCACATCGCCACCTAGTGGCACACACCTCCACTGCCACCTGGAGAAACTACCCTGCTTCTGGGATTTTAAAAGGAATTTTGGAGGCTGTGGCTGTGACATAGTGGGTAAAGCCACTGCCTATGGCACCGGCATCCGATATTCCATAGTCCCAGTTACTCCACTTCCAATCCAGTGCCCTGCTAATGCACCTGGAAAGCAGAGGAGGATGGCCCAGGTCCCTGGGAGACCCGGAAGAAGCTCCTGGCTCCTGACTTTGGTCTGGCCCAGCTCTGCTGTTGCAGTCATTCAAGGAGTGAACCAGCAGATGGAAGCTGTCTCTGACTCTCCTTCTCTCTCTCTCTGTAACTCTACTTTCAAATAAATAAATAAATAAATGGATTGTTTTATAGAAAAAGGAATTTTGGTGTCCTGGGTGCTATAACAGGATACCACTTCATGTTTCCCATTTGGGCACAGGATGTTTATTAAACACTTTACATCACATGGCCTTTAGTTGTCAGGGCAACATTGTAAGAAAGCAGCTACAATCTTTGTTTTGGTGGGAAGCCAAGGTTTCAGGAATAGGATTCAAACTCACAACCTTGTGACACTAGAACCTACTTCTCTCATGGAACTTGCCCGGGTCTCCACCTCCACTGCCTGCCCTCTTGGTCTTGTCCTCCTGTTCACTGCAAGCTGAAGGTCACTGTTCTTACCCTGGCTGCACGTTAGCAACACTGGGGAGCTTTCGCATCACGGGCTGTCCATGCCAGAGCAGTGAAGTCACAGTCTGCAGGGAGGCCCAGACTGACCAGAACTGTAGTTTTATTGAAGGTGACTCTCGCAGGTGCCTTAAGTGTTTGCTGGACACTCTCCTAACAACACAACTTTGCATCCCAAACCTGGGAAGGCCATTCGTTTCTTGGGACTTGAACCGGCACACATGTGGGATGCTGATGTTGTGGGCGGTGCTTAACCCACTGTGCCACAATGCCGGCCCTCCCCTAAGATCTACTGAGTGCAATGTGCCAGGCAGCATGGAGGTCAACACTGAGAGGCCTCCAAGGGCTTTGGTAGGCCCCATTCGTAGCACTGGCATCTCCTTGGGCAGTACTCTTCCTGGCTGGCTGGGCACCTGCACAAGGATACCTCAGACCACAGTGTCCTCTTTCCCAACACGCTCCTTCTATACGCCTTCCCTTATCACTGTGTACTCAATCCACCCTTCTCCAAACGTTTAAACTGTCCGGGAAATCTCTTAACGGACTCGAAATGAACCCTATCAGTTCCTTTTAGTGACTAAAAACTTCATATATGTTCTTTTTAATCTTCTGTCTTCAAAGAAAGATGTAAAAGCAGAAACAAAAATTTGTAGCAGAGAGTTCCAGTGACCTAATTTTGTCCAAAATGTTTTACAGTCATTCCATAGATAAAAGAGCTGAACTAGGCAAACTATCAAACTATAGAAGCAAACATAATTGGGAACATTTGTAATGGCTCTGATAGACAAATTAATCTCAACTGACTAATCAATAATTGGCAATAAAAAAGGGGGTGGACATTTAGATGCCTGCTTTCTATATCAGAGTGTCTGGGTTGGACTTGATTCAGCTTTCCACCAATGTAGATCCTGGAATGCAGTAGTGACAGCTCAAGTAACTGGGTTCCTGCCATCCACATGGGCGATCCAATTTGTGTTCTGGGTTCCTGACTCCTGCCCTGGCCTGACACTGCCTGTTGAGAAAGTTTCAGAAGTGAACCAGTAGATGGGAGCTCCCTCTCTGCTTCTCAAAAAGAAAGAAAGAAACCATCAGACTTTAGGGGCAGAAATATCTACCTTATTATTATGCCTAGAGATAGAAAATTTTTTAAAAAAATAATGTAATTTAAGGGCAGAGTGACAGAGAGAGATGGAGAGAAAAGTCTTGTAACTGCTGGGTTTCTCCCCAAATGCCTGCAACAGCCAGGGCTGGGCTAGGCCAGGTCAAAGCCAGGAGCCAGTAACTCCATCTTGGTCTCCCATGTGGGCAGCAGAAACTCAAGTACTTGGGCCATCACCTACTGCCCCTTAGGTGATGGTGGTCAGAAGTGTAGAACATCTGGGACTTGAGCTGGGCACTCTGATATGGGATGCAGGCGTCCTAAATGGTGGCTTAATCTGCTGCACCACAAGACTCATTCATAAGATAGACAGCAATTTAGATTGTGGGGAGAAGCTTCCAGAGTGCTGGCTGTCTCTTCTACTCATCTCCTTCTCTACCCTGCAGTCTGCCAGTCTGCTGATCCAGGCCTTTATCTTCCCTGTGCAGTGCACACTTGCTGACCTCGTCACATGCTGCTCTGACAATAAACAAGTCTTTTCCACATCGTCAGACACAATTATCTGACCCTTCCCTCCACTCTGCTGATAGTCTGGCCTACCTGCTAACAGAAGTAGTTGCCTAACGACAAGTCAGCTGTTGATTCCTATACTGTAGGGGCCAGGCCACGTACCCTGTTTCAATCAAAACACACACATTAAGCTGCTGAAGGATGCTCAGTGCAGGGCAGGAGTTTGCTGGCTTTTGTGTCTAAAGCCTCGGGCAGCACATGTGCTCCATGTCTGTAAGTGTGGTTCTTACAGCTGACAAGATCGCAAAGGATTGCATTAATCTAACAGAAACTGAAAGCATTCCTAACATGCCTCATACAAGGAAACAAGTGGAAACCAATGCCACTTTCTTCTCAAAAAACAAAAACAGGAATAAGGAAGTCTTTCACAATGCTGTTAACAGTGGCAACCTGGCTGAAGCAAAGTTAATTCTGCATGGGACAGCACGAGCTCATTTTCACTTAGGGTACTTTTAAGATTTAGTTAGTGCTACACTTTTCAGCTGTGTCTTCTTATGTCTTTGAAGAAAGTGGAGTCGAACAAATGCTATCAGTTGGTGAAGCTATCAATACAAGATCGAACCTGGGGAAGACTTCTGCCTGGCCACACTCGGCACTTGCAGTAGTGTCGAGTTACACATGGAAGTGGGGGAACCGCATGTGTCAGCATGACTTGAAGGACCAAGGCCCGCAAGCCCAGCAAACAGTACCGCAAAGGGCTTGTGGGAGTAGGGGCAGGAACATGAGTCACCTACGCAGGCTGCTACTGAAACCAAGGCCACCAAGATCTAAGTGGAAGCACAGCCTAGGCCCGTGCACGCAGTGCTTCGGTTTGGGGACTCAAGTAACTTAGCATCTGGTTTATCACATAAGAGCCCTTGAAACTATGGACAGTATTTCCATGATTCCTTTCATGCACGCTGAAAACCATTTACCTTTCAGTGTCTGTTTTAGCACTTTGGACTTAGACCAATGAGACGTTGGCTAAGCGACACAAATTGGTTCTCCCAGATGTAATGGTTTTTCATTTAAAACTTCTTATTTTAGGGCTAGAATCATCTGAATGACTGGCCAGCCCTCTCTCTAAGGCAGTAAGTGGTGGGTTTCATTTTTACTTATAATCCATTTTATGCTACCTCTGCAGAGTTATGGTGATTATCACTGCACATTTTGGGGCAAACTCATTAATGAACTCTGTGCCAGGAGGCTGCCTCTCACTCACTGCACGGCATCAATCTCCAGGACATGTGAGGAGCTGAAATCTATGGCAAAGCAATCAATGCATACTTTGCCTTCACTTTCTGGTATATTTCTGTGTCTCTGGATAATACACATGGGGACCACAGCTGATAAATAATTGTCTGCCTTAATTGATGTCGACCACACAAGGGGAATTGACCAGTGTTGGCAATCATTTATGCTACAGGAAAAAAGAGCATTATATTTTTCTCTTCCTTTAAAAGGAGTGGGAGAAACAGTACTTGGGCAGTTCAGTAACAGTCTTTGGGCATAAGAAAAGAAATCATTTCCTATTCCTTGCAAACTTTGATTTACAAAAGAACGCTGGAAGCTAAAAGCCTTGTTGATTTATCACGTGAAGCAAAGAGTAATTTTTCTCCCCTTGTTAGGCTTTCATATAATCATGCTCACTGCCTGTATGGGTGGCATTAAAGAATTTCTGAATAAAAATAATAATTTCTTGCTTTCAACCTTCATAATTCACATCAGCAAGCACCCTGCTGGGTGGTGATGCCTACTGCCAGTGACGCTCAATCTTTGTTGCACGCCACTTATCTGCTCCGCACAGCTGCGCGTTCCATTGACGGCGGTACCTGCAGGATAATGCGCCCGTAGGCGTTCTTCAGCAGATTAACCACGTCCGCGTGAGACAGCCCATCCAAAGGTTGCCCATTAATGCTGACAATCCGATCTCCAACCTGGAAGCACAAAAGTGGTAGCAAATCACCATCATTAAGAAAAATTAAATTTGAGAAGAATGCTTAAAGTTCTTTGTAAGTCATATTTCCCATTTGTGCCTATTGTGGAGATTCTATGTTTCTACTGTGTGTGCAACATGGGAGAAATATGAGGAATTTTTATGGCTTTCCCCAAATATAAACCCATCAGAGAAACAAGAAGGGGGTCAGTTTGGATGATTAAAAGGCACAGTAGGTCACTTTTGTATTGTGGTAATGGTGGTGTTTCATACATCCATTCACCAGTAATAGTGGGGTATACAAATTAATGGTTCAATAAAGCTCTAATGAGAAAGCCAAATATTTTCTGCTTTATTTTTTCTACCCAAGTTAAGATTACAGGGCAATAGGGGGAAAAATCATGAAATGTTGATTCTTTTGGTTGAGGGAAGACTCTAAGGTCAAATCTCAGTTGAAAACCAATTTTGGGTGGAATGAAGTGCTAAAAAGGGCCTGGGTGGATTTGCAAAGGAGCTGCAATTTCTTCTTTTATTGGAAGCTTTGATACAAACAATAATATTTTTATATGCCCGGGGACCTAATGAATTTCAGGCATAACATTTCTCTAATGCATTTTGCCCTCAGGTGGGTCTCTGGTGGCTGCTGGAATTCCAGCTTTAAACAAGGTGCCCGCGGATGCAACTTCCTCCCCACCCTACCACATGCTGTTAGCACTTGAACCAGTCCCCTCCTGTTTACTTTAAGTTTCTGTGTACGTGCAGCCACTCCACTGGCTTGAATCATGGCAATAAATATTGGGATATCTCCTAAGGGACTTCCTTTTCCTCCAGCAATGCTGATTCCAAGAGCATCATTGAGCTCCTGAAAAAGAAAGAAAATACAATGCTTACAGATGGAAAAAAGTGCTACAAGCTAGCTATCCCCAGGTAGCTGCTGAACAAAATCCCCCCATCACGCAGGAGGCTGGGATAACATGGGAGTGAAGCACAGGACCTTTGGAATCAGAAAGACCTATGCTCCAGCTCTTGCATCGAGTTAGCTGTGGGCTTGTGATTTAATCTCTTCCAGCCTCCACGTTTGTGTATCAAACAGGCACAATGCTCCGTGCCTCCAGGGTTGGTCTGAGAGTTAAATGAGATGATATAGCACTGTCCTGGCTTATAGCAAAGACTCAATAAAAGGCAACAGTAGGAGTAAATAATAACAAAGATAAAACCCATGCTACCATTCTGTTCAGGCTGATTTTGAGGCAGTCTTAGCAAGTGTGTTCTCATATGGTGTTTATGATTAAACTGCCACGTATACCATGTTGTTATGGGTGTGAACCAACACAGGGGGCCCTAAAGAGCCACACGACTGCTTCAGAACAAAGGCCCTTGGAGGACTCCCACTGTAGTGACAGCGGTTGGGACAGAGAAATAAAATGTGGCTGAGAATATTCCCTACGAGGGACCCTGGTGGAGACCTGGCCCTGGGCCCGTTTGTTTCCATATCTGCATCACAGGATTAATATTTTCAAGATCACTAACAAAGCACAAATGACAAGTCTGGTTCTGGCACAGGGGTGCGTACTACAGCAGTCTCTCCCCCACAGATTACAGCTCAGAAGATTTGTCAAAGCACATAAACAACTCCTGCAGCCTCCAAAACATAAAGAAAACAGATCGTAGTGGAGAGTTAAAACTTGGAGAAATGATGGCAAGGGTTACATTCCCTGATTTCCATTTCTTTCCTGGTAGCTTTCCCAGCGAGGGAGCAGGAAAACTGGTGTGAGCTGCTGGTGCACACTCCACGCCTCTGGCCAGGGACTCAGGAAAGGAGCCCAGGGGCCTGCAGTGGATAGAGGCAGAGGGGACCCCCGACTCTGTGTGGCAACCCACAGGGTTCGCAGGCTCAGGGCTAAGCTTCGTATGCGTGGGGCGGATCCGAACCAGCACAGCAAGAGCTTGGAGAATGAACCTGAGACTGGTACTCTGCTCACAAAATGCACAGTGGACTTCAGTCTGAATCTAACCAGGCTGCCTGCCTGTTGAAGCACAAACATCAGCCTTCTCCGGAGCCTGCACGTCACATTGTGAAGGCCCTGATGGAACCCTGAACTCCACGTGCAAAGAACCAGGAAAAGGTGGCAATGCTCTTCTTCAGTTCTTTAGAATGTGGTGGACAGCTGAAAGCAGAAATTACATTATTTGGGGGTGGTTCTCAACTTACATAGGACAACGAGGCACAAATGTCAGCGGTGGTTGTGATAAAGTTACCGATATGGTTCAAGGCTTCTACAGTTTAGAACGATCACTTAAGAACATAGGCTAATCACTAGGCTAATCCTCCGCCTTGCGGCGCTGGCACACCGGGTTCTAGTTCCGGTCGGGACGCTGGATTCTGTCCCGGTTGCCCCTCTTCCAGGCCAGCTCTCTGCTGTGGCCAGGGAGTGCAGTGGAGGATGGCCCAAGTACTTGGGCACTCCACCCCATGGGAGACCAGGATAAGTACCTGGCTCCTGCCATCAGATCAGCGCGGTGCGCCGGCCACAGCGCGCCAGCTGCGGCGGCCATTGGAGGGTGAACCAATGGCAAAGGAAGATCTTTCTCTCTCTCTCTCTCCACTTTGCCTGTCAAAAAAATAAAAAGAAAAAAAAAAAAGAAAAAAGAACATACAGAGGGGCCAGCACCGTGGCACAGTAGGTTAATCCTCCGCCTGCAGCGCTGGCATCCCATATGGGTGCTGGTTCTAGTCCCGGCTGCCCCTCTTCCAATCCAGCTCTCTGCTGTGGCCTGGGAAAGCAGTAGAGGATGGCCCAAATGCTTGGGCCCTCTGCACCCACGTGGGAGACTGGGAGGAAGCTCCTGGCTCCTGGCTTTGGATTGGCGCAGCTCTGGCCATTGTGGCCATCTGGGGAGTGAACCAACGGAAGGAAGACCTTACTCTCTGTCTCTCCCTCTCACTGTCTGTAACTCTACCTCTCAAATAAAATAAAGAAAATCTTAAAAAAGAATACATAGAGTTTAGTCTGTGTTAGTTACATCTTCTTCATAAAGGTGAAAGACGGAAACAGCTTCAAAAACCTTTAATGCATCTTAGGTATATATATATTATGAAGATGTATTTTTATTTGAAAGTCAGAGAGAGAGGGAGACAGAGAGAGAAACTTCTATCCACTGGTTCACTTCTCAAATGGCCACAAATAGCTGGGGCTGGGCCAGGCCAAAGCCAGAAGCCTGGATTTCATCTGGGTCTTCTGAATGGGTGGCAGGAGACCAAGCACTTGGGCCATCTTCCACTGCCTTCCCAGGAACATTAGAAAGGAGCTGGATCAGAACCAGTGCTCTGATATAGGATGCTAGTGTTGCAGGGGACTGCTTACTCCTCTGTGTCACAATACTGGCCTCTAGGAATTGTTCTTTATTATTAATACTGTTGCTGCCACGTCATACCCACATGACAGGATAAGGAAGGCTGACTGCTCCAGTTACAGGTTTATATCCTGTTTCTGAAGCATTTGTGTTTAGCCTACACTTTTAAAAACAATTCTGCTATCTTTTATTATTTTAATTAATTTATTTGCATTTTATTTGGAGCGTAGAGAGGAGGGGAAGGGCAGTAATAAGAGAAGAGATAGGAGAGACAGGAGAGACAGGAGGAAGGCAGGAAGAGAGGAAGAGAGGAAGGGAGAGAGAGATAGAGAGAGAGAGAGAGAGAAACACTTCTATCAGTGGTTCATTCCCTAAAAGCCTGCAACATCCAAGGCTATGCCAGGTTGAAACCAGGAGCCTAGAACTTCATCTGGGTCTCTCACATGGGTGGCAGGGACCCAAGAACTTCAGCTATCATCTGTTGCTTCTCGGGTGTGTATTGATAGGAAACTGGATGCGAAGTGGAGCCAGGAGTCAAACCAGGCACTATGTATGATGTGGGTTGTGGGCATAAATGTTACAACAAATACCTGCCCCTAATTTTCACTTCCTTAATGCATCAGCAGTCAAGCCTTGTGTGTAAAACAGCAAAAAGTGTTTGACTATGAAGTTTCTGCTTGAACTATGTGTGGGAGAGGAGTGGTATGTGGGAGCAGACCTCATTACAAAAGCCTATAGAAACAAGTGGCACCAAAGAATAAGAAAACAGAAAATGATGTTACTTTAAAAAGTTTGCAATGAAGAAAGCTTTATGTAATAGTTTTGTTTTGTAGAAATCCATCATGGTAACATTTCCTTAGTTTATGTGATTATTGTACACTGTTGGAATATTCATTTTCCCCACCTTTGGAACAGGGCGTTGCCACCCTGGCAGAAAGCTGCCAGGAACAGATGACACAGACTCTGTCAGTGCTGCAGCCAAGACAGCAGGGAGAACTCCACAGGCACTCAGGAGGCACTGGGCACTGTGTGATGTACATCACATCTGCTTCCTCCTCTAGTGCACACAAGATTTACCTTTGAGGGAAACTGGTGTTATTACCCTCATTCCACACATGAGGAAGTTGAGGGTGACTTGCTAAAGAACACAGAGCTCATGTGGAGGACTGAACTATATCTTCTTAAAATTTGTAAATTGAGGGGGCCAGTGTTGTGGTTAAGCAAGCTAAGCTGCCACTTGGGTCACTAGCCTCCCATATTGGAGCACTGTCAGTCCCAGCTGCTTCACTTCTGTTCCAGCTACTTGCTAGTGCACTTGGGAAAGCAGTGGATGATGACCCAAGTACTTGGGCCCCTGCCATCCATGTGGGAGACCCTCTTGGAGCTCTGGGCTACTGGCTTCAGCTGGACCAGCTCTGGCCATTGTGGCCATCTGGGGAGTGAACCAGCAGATGGCAGATCTCTCTCTCTCTCTCTCTCTCTCTCTCTCTCCCCCTCCCTCCCTCCCTCTCCTTCTCTCTCTTCCTTTTCTGTCACTCTGCCTAAAGTTGAAGCCCAAGATACCAGTGCCTCAGTAGTGACTGGATGTGGAGATGGGGCCTTTAAAATGAGGACCATCCAGTGTGCTCTAATCCAATCTGACTGGTATTCTTATAAAACAGGGAGGTTAGGCCATAGCAGAGACCCCAAGGATGATAAGAAACACAAAGAAACAGACACGTGAGACCCAGTGAAAAGGCAACCTTCTTCAAACCAAGGAGAGAGGCCTCAGGAAAAATCAAACACTTGGTCTTGGACTTCCAGCCTCCAGACCATGAGAAGATGAATGTCTGTTGTTTAAGCCACATGGACTATGTTGTTTGTTATGGCAGCCCTAGAAAACTTACCCAGCTGAGAGACAGCAGGACACCTTCAAATGAAGCTAGGATTGAATTCAGAGAACTAACCAATGTGAGATGACACTTTACTGCATGCAGTTGGTCACTGTGACTGTCATGTTTTATTTCTTCTTGAACTCAAATTTATGGTCAAAGTGACTGAAAGAAGAATATTTTCTAATATTCTGGTTATCATACATATCACACAGGAGTTTGAAAATCAGGGTTTGACAAACTTATGTACTGAAATATACCTCACACGATCTTAAAAGGTTAATTTAACAACATGCATAAAAGTCTTTAGCAACAAGTATGGCTTTTGGCTCAATAATTTTATTTGTAGGAATTAATCCTAAGGAAATTATCCATGATATGGGCAAAAATGGACATACATAGATGTTTTGCTATAGAAGAGCAAAAATTGAAAAATATACTAATTGTTGAATTAGAAGCCGGTTAAAACTAACATATTTATGTGATGGTATACTATGCAACGAATAAAAATCATGCTCTGCTCCAATCTGTCAAAAAATATGGTTACAGGTTACAGGTTCAGACTGCAAAGTTGAAAGGATACAAGCGGATGTTCAACAGATAACTTAAACACAAACACATGCAAAACACATGGTGGGTGACCTTTGCTCCTGAACTCACAGTGGTCATCTGCGTGCTTCACTGTATCTTCAAAGCCTGTTTACTTATATTACATAGATAAACTTGAAAGAGCACATTAATTATCAAGTTGTATCAAGGGGAAAATGTACATTTTATGCAAATCTAGCACAAACCAGAAAAAGAAACCAGCAACATAACTGACTTACCCTGATTATCTCCACCGTCCTTGGTCCCACTTCTGTGCCTATACACGAAGAAGACACCCAATTAACTTTATTAAGAGACAATATGCTCGCATTTAGGATATAATTCTGTCCCGTGAAATGGTATCATTTCTAGGCCTGACGAGATGGGATACTAAAGCAGGCAGGCATCATAGCCTTGCTCAACAGCCAGCCCACAGTCAGGTCATCAAGGGCTGTGTACCCTCTTTTAAGTAAGTGCCCCGTGTTTGAGAGGGAAGTGGCCACAATCATTCTGTCTGACAAAAGCTGACAGATGGCAGCAACAGCTGCCCGGAGAAGTGATTCAATGCCTAACTGTACCTTGCACTGCCTGCATCAAAGGTAAGTAACCCTGCAATCAGTAAGACTCAAAAAGATTCCCTAATGACCAGTAATTGATGAATTTTCTCTTTGTGAACAGTTTTACTTTATGATACATTTTAGCTTTCTGCTTTTCTGTTTTTCTATGATCTGTGTACCATGAAAGGCACATTCCAAAGAGGAATCTCTGCGGCTCCCCTCCCTACGCAACAGATCTTCCAGAATGCTGCGGCTCGTGTGGCCAACCTCAGAGATTTAGATATTTTAATTAAAGATGGAAAGGTTTTTTTTTTTTTTTATGAAAATGCTAATATTACAAAAACTGGGTAACAGGATGGTTTGGCTGGGGGTGTGTCCACGTGGTACCTGAACTCTTCTGGGACGACTCGGAAGATCGTTTTGTGCCAACCAGGCTTTGCAGGCCACTGATGACGGGAGCCAGCGAAGGACGACTGCTGCTGTGGTGACCCTGAAAAGGAGACCCAGCCGTCACCTGCACAGACACTGATTTGGCCCTAAAAGCTCCCACTGCTCACTAGTACCCCAGTTACTGACATCACCGTAACCATTTAACTGTTGTAGGAATACAGTACATTTTTCCCACACAGATTTTCCTAGAGTCAGCAACAATTTAGTCCAATGCGTTACACCTCCATTACTTATCCTTTTATTCACTTAAATAAATATTTGAGGTCTACAATGTATATAGTCACTTACGGCTGGTGGCTCTTCAACCAAAACTCTACATACTTTAAGGGCCCTTTCTAATGCAGACAACAATATCACCAAGAGTGAACAAATACTTTTTTAAACCAAATTATCAAGGTTATGCCTAACTGCATCAAAATTTTAAGCTGGGCCTAACATCACTATTATCAGTTAATAAATTATAATTTGATCCATTTTCTTGACTCTATAAGTTGTTTAGTACTACACATTCCTTAGATATGACAAACTTCAAATATGTGGAAAAGTTGGAAGAATTATGCAAATGATGTCCATCTATTCACCAATTAGGTTCTCCATTAATATTTGGCTATACTGTGGTAGAGGCCTTTGTCTTTTAATTCAACTTGTTTCTAACTGCCATGATCAAAGTTGTGGTAGAGGCCTTCCCAAGGTCAGAAGAAGCAAAAGGGAGGCATCTGTCCTGGGAATGAAATGTGGCTGTTATCTGCTTGCCTATGAATGCTCCAACTATAGTTATCATCTGTTTGTATGTAACCATTTCAGGTTCTGCTTGCTAGTACAGAGCAATGGTGGTAACCCTTGCCAGACAGTGAAGGGCTCGGTAACTATGTGCACATAGGCAGTATTGCATCAATTCCTGTGACTGCCACGTAACATTAGAATACAAATGTATGCATGTAGCCATATAAGGGTGACAAAGAGGCTAAAACCATATATATTATAAAATATCCCTCTTTGTTCTGGGCTCAGGCTATTGTATAAAAAATTCTACCTGGGCCTTATGCCGGCATAAATAACAAAAGACTACTTGCCCTTAAAAGGAGCTGATGCCTTGTATGCGAATCCTACTACAACACTTTTAAATAAAAAATCCATTCATCTATATCACTCAATTCATCTTAACAAGTTCAATTCAAAACAAGTTATAGTACTTTTCACAACAGACACATATACATTTAAAGGGACGCTTTTATATTTTTCCTGAAAGAGTATGACTTAAATACATGGTGCCATAGTTAACGACTCAGAATTGAGGAAGTTCAGGGTGTTATAATTTTTGCCTAAAAAAAACCTCAGGACAGTGCGTTTGCCAAAGCCTAATTTATTAAAATGGGCTTTGCCTGGCGGCGTTCCCTCAGGCCCTGAGGAGAAGATTTCTCAGGTGTGTTTTCCTACACACACTTTGCTCTGCAGAGTAAGAGAGACTTCTTCCTGTTTGGTGGGAAAAAGCTATTTCAAAATAAGAGGACTGGTGGCTCAAGGCCAAAAGTTTTCTCTTAATGACCTCACTTTCTCTGGGTCAAATCAACAAGCTAACCTTTTCCTGAGCCCTGAAAAGGCAGCACATGTCTCCTGACAACTGCTTAGAGGGTGCTGGCTTTCCTGGGGTCTGGATGTGAGAATGCGTGGGAGTAGAATCCTCTTTCAACTCAGGAGCGCAGGAGACACTCCCTTTTCACTGTTGGCCAGAAGTTTTCTTCCTATCAGCCAACCAGTGCAAACTCTCAGACCATCTCAGCCACTATTTTTAAGGGCAAGGTGAGGATAAAATATATTTACTGATTTTTTTAAATAAACATGTTTTTATTCCATTGTTCTGTGAACTTCTTTTCTAAAGATTTATTTATTTATTTATTTATTTGAAAGTCAGAGTTACACAGAGAGAGAAGGAGAGGCAAGGAAAGAGAGGTCTTCCCTCCAATGGTTGACTCCCCAATTGGCCACAATGGCCGGAGCTGTGCAGATCCAAAGCCAGGAGCCAGGAGCTTCTTCCAGGTCTCCCACGCAGGCGCAGGGGTCCAAGGACTTGGGCCATCCTCTACTGCTTTCCCAGGCCACAGCAGAAACATGGATCAGAAGTGGAGCAGCCAGGACCCAAACCAGAGCCCATATGGGATATCAACACTTCAGGCCAGGGTTTTAACCCAATGTGTCAGGGCGCCAGCCCCTTTACTGATTAAAAAACAACAACAACAACAAAACGAGTTGACTTCTACTGCTTGAAATACAAAGTCTGTGCAGGAAGGTTAGGGGAAAGTATTTGATACTTTGCTCCAGTTTCCAAAATTGATAGTTTTCAAAATTACATTCAGATAAATGGTAACGGTAGATGGTTTTGTTGGTGGCGGTGGTGACACTTAATGATCCAGCTTCCAAATTTGCTAGCTCTGTATTTAACCTGAGTGTGGACTTCATTAATCATGATGATGCTCACGTACAGTCCTCAAGGAAGGAAATCCAGCTTCCCTTCCATTGCACCTGTCAGGCCAAACCTTTCCTAAAACACACATGATCTCCTTTCACCCTGTGTGCCTCTGCACATCAACTACAGGCTGCCTTCTCCTTTTTCTCCTCAAACTCTTTTTGGGTCAGACCCAGTGAAACCTCTTCTAGGTAGTTCTCTCACTCTCTAATAGGCAAAGAATTTCACCTCCAGTACGGTTCACTCTGCATTCTCATCTCAGCACAACGAGGCTTCAATGAGATCGTTCAACAGGCATGAGTCTTCCCCTAAGGAAGAAGCCTGGCAGTGACGATGGCCATGCGTCTCCAGTCCCCAGGGTCCACATGGTCACAATCATCACTGGCCTTTGGCTCACATGCTCCTACAGCAACACTGTGTCCTAGCAGGCATGGCATTTGCTGCCTATCACACAGGCTAGAAGTGCAGGGGGAGAGAATTCCAAACTTCCCGTGGTGGTGTTCGCTGGGTTTGACTGCTTTGAAGAGTCCCTAAGATAAGCCAGCTCTCTCTGTGATCTTACTGGAACAATGGACTTTCCCCCTCCCTGGTTCTCTAACACCTGTGAGGCAGAGGCAGCTAACAGTGTTCTAGAAGCACCTGTGTGCTAACCACAAGCTCAGAGCATCCTCTGAACAAAGGCCTTGAAGGGGCGGCACATCCAAGGCAACCAGGCAGGGGATGGAAAGTCATGCTGTTCACCTCAAAACAAGGGCCCAGTCAGAATTCCCAGAGGAGACGAGGGGTTCACATCCCAGTTTCTGCAGTGACACTATGTATCAAATGCGACTGAAGACAGAGTCTATTGTCTTGATTCTGTCAGTCATTACAATGAAAAAAAAAAAATACAGTGAAAGAGGGGCCGGTACTGTGGCACAGCGGGTAAAGCTGCTGCCTGCAGTGCCGGCATCCCACATGGGCACCCGTTTGAGTCCCAGCAGCTCCACATCCGATCCAGCTTTCTGCTATGGCTTGGGGAAGCAGTAGAAGATGGCCCAAGTACTTGGGTCCCTGCACCCACATGGGAATACCTGGAGGAAACTCCTGGCTCTGGATCAGCACAGCTCTGGCCATTATGGCCAGTTGGGGAGTGAACCAGCAGATGGAAGACCTTTCTCTCTCTCTCCCTCTCTGTCTCTGCTTCTCTCTCTGTATAACTTTGACTTTCAAATAAATAAATAAATCTTAAAAAAAAAACCAGTGAAATATACTTTGCTAATAAAAAAAATACTGGTGTTTATATGAGTCTCGAGAATAAACATAGGATGGATGCTTGCTGACTCACAAAATATCACCCACGAAGGCCACCCTCCCAGAGGGAAGCCCTCACTCCTGGGTCTCCTAGGAAGATACCATTAATTGCCCTCAGCATGTATGAGTGGCTATTCACAAGTTCACTTTACAGCAATATTTAATTGAATGAATAGAACGATGTTGTGCAAATGAGGGTCAAATTGCCACCAGATGTTGCCTGCTTTTTTTTTTTAAATAAACACAGCTGTGTACATGTGTGCACAGGCAAGAGGGAATTATGAGTGGCAAAGAAAAGAAAAGCGGTTTTAAGAAAAAATTTGTGGACAACAAAGGGGAGAAAAATCTAGGGATTAATGAATTTCCATCCCACCTTTCCTTTTGATTTCAAACTCGTGAAAACACACTGAACTTTGTGCAGTGACTATGCCTTGGATTCAACATTACTTCCTAAGGGTCGCTTGTGCAATGGGCAGAGCCCTCCCTGTGGGGGCAGGAGGGTGAGTCAGTCTGCTGGGAAGCCATCAACAACCTGACTGTTGTGCGATGTCTTCCTGGAGGCGGCCCAGGACCCAGCTCGCAGTCTTCCGATCTCTAGCTGCACAAGCCCCTGTGCACACTTGGAGGACAAGAATGGAACAGAAATGAACAACAGGTGTGTTTGTGTCCCAACACAGCACAGCACCGCCTCCCCTTCCCTCTGCAGCCAATAGCTACTACAGAGTAATAACAGCGACAGATGAAAAGGAGTCACCCCCAAATCCCACAAAAACAGCAGAAATCTGTGTCAGAAGGATTAGCTTTCAATTCATGTCTTTTTCCTTCTCCCTTCTGATAAAAAATGTTCATGCACAGCAAAATCATTAAGGAAATGTAGTACAGGAGAGGACAAAGGAAGTCAAAATGCAGATGTAACCTACAAACACAGTTCCTCTCCTGGGCGGGAACAGCTGGCTCTCTCAAGAGGTCATAATCTTACACCCAACGAATTTCCTCTGTCTATGCAAAGCTTTCATGGCTGTTTGTGAAATATACAAAATCCCTGCTCAGAATTGAATGGAAATTTACAAGAATTTTTATGAACCAGTTTCTTCCAAGCACGGCAGACACACTTGGAGGTGCATTTGGAACCTTACCACGGTTACAATTTCAGGGAGACAGCTTGGTTGGTGGGAAAATCACTCAAGCGAGCACTGTGATCTTTGGCTGTCATTTTTCAGACTTCATGTGTGACAAGGAGGAACTGGTCTGGATTATATTAAATGTTCCTTCAAGTCTTAAAAGCTGGATCTTATGAACTCATGATCGCGTGCTCCCTGACCTGGCCCCAGAAGGAGCTGCAGGAATTCTATATTCAGAGGACAACCGTGGAGACTTGGAATTCTCACAAGTGCGCAAAACTACCTTAGAAATCCCAAAGCCCTGCCAATTTGACAGAGCTTTCTTTTAAAGCTAATCCTGATCATTCACAATTGTCACAGATTAGAGTCTCATAAAGCCCAACCCATTTGTTATCAAGCTAGGCTGGAACAGATCCCCCCACCCTGTGGTGGTGCTGGCTGGGCACACGGCACCGGTGTGACTCACCTTGAGGACAGTGGCCACCGTCTCCTGGGAGGCGCTCCTCATGTCATCCCCGTTCACAGATAAGATCTGATCTCCCTGAATCAATCTCCCATCCAGGTCTGCAGCGCCTCCTTTCACGATGTCGGAAATAAACACTCCGCTTCCGTTTCTGTTAATACCATAAAGCAATGGCGTGTTGGCACAGCCTAATATTTCTTTTGTAAACATTTATTTATTTTAAAGGCAGAGTTATAGGGGGAGAGAGAGGAAGGAGGAGGAGAATGGGGGGGCAGAGAGAGAGAGAGCGAGCGAGCAAGCCTCCATCTGCTGGTTTATCCCCCAGCGGCTGCAATGAGTGGGGCTGGGCCAAGAGGAAGCCAGGAGCCAGAAGCTTCATCTGGATCTCCCACATGGGTACAGGGGCCCAAAGACTTGGGCCATCCTCTGCTGCTTTCCCATGCATATTAGCAGGGCGCTGGATTGGAAGTGGAGCAGCCAGGATTTGAACCGGCACCCATAGAGGATCCTGGCATTGCAGGCTGTGTCTTAACCCATTGTGCCACAATGCTGGCCTCACAACCTAATATTTCTTAATTAAAATCTTAGATCACTAATTTTCTATATGGGTTCACTAAATTCTAAAATGTGGAAGCAGAGTCCTACAAAGCCATAGAATTACTAGTTCAATCATTTATGGTTATTTATGTTGCCTGTTGTAATATTAATTTTCATGGGCCCAAGGCCATGATTTCTTGAAGATCATCATTTTAGTGGAGTGAAATGGGAATTCACTTAAAACAGTGGAGTTACGTACTCTTAAAATGTATCGGTTATTTTCTTAGAGAAGATTAGTTTCACTCCCAGCATGTGATCTATTTCTAGTCACTTTTTCTCCTTTGCTATTTCATTTTTTTTTAAAGACTTCATTTCATTTATTTGAAAGGCAGAGTTACAGAGAAAGAGAGTTGCTTGATGCAAATAACTATTTTCTAATAGAAAACTGTCACGAATCATTTATACTTGTCTCTCAACCATGTTTCCTCGATGTGTTTTAACATAGTGTAAAATTAACATGGTATTCCACGCCAGAGCAATTTCCTTTTTCTTTTCAAATTAAGAAAAATTTTGTTTTTTCATTTTATTTGAAAGGCAGAGAGACAGAGGACAGGGAGAGACAGATCTTCTATCTGCTGGTTCACTCCCCAAATGCCTGCAACAGTCACGGCTGGGCCAGGCTGAGGCCAGAAACCAGCTTTTCAATCTGGGTCAGATTGTGCCAGAAACTGGGGCTTCCAAGGGTACACATTAGCAGGAAGCCAGAATCAGAAGTGGAGCTGAGCCTAGAACCACGCATTGCCATGTGGGATGCGGGCACCTAATGCCTGCCCTTGGAAGCAAATTTTCTTAATCAAACATTGTGCAGGGCGGCTGGCACTGCGGCTCACTAGGCTAATCCTCCGCCTGCGGCGCTGGCACTCTGGGTTCTAGTCCTGGTTGGGGTGCCAGATTCTGTCCGGGCTACTCCTCTTCCAGTCCAGCTCTCTGCTGTGGCCCAGGAAGGCAGTGGAGGATGGCCCAGGTGCTTGGGCCCTGCACCCTCATGGGAGACCAGGAGGAGGCACCTGGCTTCTGGCTTTGGGTGGGCACAGTGTGCCGGCTGTGGCGGCCATTTGGGGAGTGAACCAACGGAAGGAAGACCTTTCTCTCTGTCTGTCTCACTGTCTAACTCTGCCTGTCAAAAAAGAAAGAAAAAAACATTGTGCAGGCCAACCCGTGCTATCTTGGGTATGTAAGCCACAGATCGAGGTAATTCCAAGTTGAAAGAACCTATAAGGAAATGTAACAGGCTAGGTTGACTGGGCATGGAGCTTTATAAGGAAACGACAGGTTTGTTTGTTTGATACCGCACTGCTCAGAAATACGACCTATGTTGCTCAAATATTCACAACGGCTTTGGAAATCATGCCCCTGGTTTACACTCAGCTTCACCTCTCTGAAGGAAAGGGCCAGTCGTGACTCACGCAGCGCGTCCTCACCGTTTCCCCACGATGCTCAGGCCCAGGCCGCGGCCGGCCTTCTTCTGCAGGTCCACGGGGAAGATATCTAAGTTCTCTTCGTCCCTGTAGTGCGCCTCATCCCTGTACACCACCAGCCGCACCTTCTGCGGGGTCTGCCTCAGGGCCGTGATGGCTTCTTCGTGGCTGCAGCTCCTCAGGTCCACCCCGTTGACCTGGAACAAGGGCATCCTGAAATGGGTGGTGGGCAGCAGGGGCCTTTCTGCCTGCTGGGTTGGCTGGAGCTCACTGATCCAACCCGTGAAAACCTCCAGAAACCTTTGGTCCCTCCTGAAGCTAAAGAGGTAGGGCGCACTGGCAGCGGGAGCTGCTTCTGACACAGAGCAGGGGGCGGGAGGGAGGGCTGGCACACCTGATAATGGTGGTTTCATGTAACTGTGAACTTCACAGGGGAGAGAGAGAGAGAGGAGCAGGGAGTGAGGTGGGTGCCAGTGAGCCCCACTTTGCCTACTGCATTTGACAGCCTCACTCTCAGTTGCTTACATTGCAGCTTCAGACAAGGCCTAAAAGGAAATGAGGCACTGGTATATCCAGCGGTGTCAAAGACTCCCCAAAGTCTCAACTCAACCTGGGATGTGGATAAGCAGACAGTGCAGCATTAGATGGTGCAAGGTACTAGAACCTTGCACTGAACAAAGCCTCAGCTCGGTTTCCGGCAAGCCATGTGAATGCGGGCCGGCGCCCAACCTCTCTGAGCCAGTTTCTTTTCCTGTTAAATGGAGATCACCACCAGCTTATTTCTTGACTCACACACTTCTGTAGAGCTTGTGTGCTAGTCCTGTATGAATATTTACTCACTTAGTCTTTATACTAACACTCTGAAATTGCCATTATTACCATTTTCCATTTTTTAAAAGACTTTATTTATTTATTTGAGAGGTAGAGCTACAGAGAGAGAGGTCTTCCATCCTCTGGTTCAGTCCTCCAATGGCTGTAATGGCCAGAGCTGAGCTGTTCTGAAGCCAGGAGCTGGAAGCTCCTTTCAGGTCTCCCACATGGATGCAGGAGCCCAAGGACTTGGGCCACTTTGTACTGCTTTCCCAGGCCATAGCAGAGACTGGATGGGAGAAGAAGCAGCCGAGACATGAACTGGCACCCATATGGGATGCTGGTGCTGCAGGCAGAGGCTTAGCTTTCTATGCCACAGCGCCGGCCCATCGTTACCATTTACAATGAGAAAACTGAGGCTCAGAGAGGTTAAAGGAATTGACCAAGGTTACACAGCCAGCGGGTAGATGAGCCAAAATATGAAGTGCAGGCAATCTCTCCAGTGTGAGTCTCCACATTAGTCAGCTTTTTGTTACCACAACAAAATACCTTAGGCAACTAAATTTATAAGGAGAGAAGTTTAATTTAGCTCAGTTTTGGAGGCTGAAGTCCAAGGTCAGGTGGACCCACTGATCTCTGATGAGGGTGGCAGATGGCAATGGCAGAGCATACAGAGGAGGGGTTGTAGAGAGAGACAGAGCAGAAAGAGGAGCTGGGCCCAGCTTGCTTTTGTAACAACCCCCTCACCGAGTTATCTTTTGAGGGTACTTCCCAACAACCGAAGGACCTCCCACTAGGTCTACCTACTGACCACTCCAAAACGATAACGTTTCTACTCTCTCATTAAGTACTATTAACTCATTCTTTGGGGGTTTAAAGCTTGGTGGGAGTGTGGGAGCCAAATCATATGCAAACCATAGCAGTCCCCACATCATGCTGCCTTAGAGTTTTTTCTTTGAATGGATTATGGAGGACACCTCTGCCACAGAGAAAGTAAAAACTTGGAGAAATCCAGGAGCGGAGTAACCTTGGACAACAAGGGAGCTGGGGAGGGCACTGTGGTGCAGTGGGGTAAGCCCTGCTTGGGATGCTGTATCCCACATCAAAGCAACTGGTTTGCTCCCTGCTTCTGATACAGTTTCCTGCTAATGTGTACCCTGGGAGGCAGATGTTGGTCCAAGTATTTGTGTTCCTGTCATGCATGTGGGAGACCCAGATGAAGTTCCTGGTTTCAGCCTGGCCTAACCTCAGCTGTTATGGGCATTTGGGTAGTGAACCAGTAGATGGAAGATTAGTCTCTCTGTCACTCTTTTAAATAACTAAATAAATCCACCTCTCCCACCCCACCTCCAAAAGTCTCCCGGGTCACTCCTTCAAGGTCACAGTTGGGCAAAGAGCCAATCAAAGGAAAGGATGGGCCCAGACCTCAGCTGGCAGAGAAAAGAATGGAAGAGATCCCTCAAGCTGTGGGCTCCACACCCTGTTCTGCCTGTGAACCCTGGCTCCTTCACCCACATAGGGGAGGGTGGTCTGAGGCCTTCCCTACTCTAACATTCTACAGACTAACGACTCACGGCTTAGAGAATGGTTGTAGAGAAGGGAGGAGAGAATAAAGCCTTCCTGAAGAAGATGACTCTTCAAGCTGTGTTTAAAGCTGGCTCTATAAGCTGAGAGAATACTTAAGAACCTCATTTTTGAGGCCAGCGCTATGATGCAGTGGGTTAAGTGGCTGCCAGCATCCCATATGTGTGGGGAGCAACCCGGACTAGACTGTTACTGGAATTAAGACTTATTCTATGCATCTGCTCTCCCACAATATGGCGCTGGGAGAGAAGAAAACAGCTTCTACACAGCTGCCTCCAGTTCAGCCAATAAACTGTAGGACTTGCTCCTGATTGGAGGAGAGCAGCGAACTCGGCGTGTGGGTAGCCGAGTTGGGATTGGCAGAGGAGGACTATAAAGGAGGAGAGAGACGGCATGCACCAGGAACATCTAAGGGGAACATCTAAGGGGAACACCTGTGCAGCCCCCGAGAGAGCCGGCCGGCGGTGTGCCGCTCCCCTGCGGAAGTGGGGAATGTGGCCAGGGGGAACTGCCCTTCCAAGGAGGTGGAAGGGACAGTAGCCAACCCGGGAAGAACCAGCAGCAAACCCGGGAAGGGCCGAGCAGACGAAAGAACAGCGCAGGGTTTAGTGTCGCTCCTTCACGAAGAGGGGGAGCGACAATATGGGTGCCAGTTCGAGTCCTGGCTGCTCTACTTCCAATCCAGCTTCCTGCTAATGTGCCTCTGAAAGCAGAAGATGACCCAAGTGGTTAAATCCCTGCCACCTATGTGGGAGAACCAGACGGAGTTTCAGGTTCCTGGCTTCAGCCTGGTCCAGCCATAGCTACTGCAGCCATTTGGGGAATGAACCAAAGCATGGAAGGTCGGTCTGTCTCTCTCTCTCTCTCTCTTCCTCTTTCTGTAACTCTGCCTTTCAAACAAATAAATAAATCTTTTAAAAAAGCACCTCATTTTCTGGTGCTTTTTTCTTTTCCGCTATACCTTGGTGGCTGATGTACTCACTTAGGTGAACAACATTCAGGAGAACAGGGTTAAGAACACGGGTTTGGGATGTAGGTGGACTTCAGTTTGGGTGCTTCTTCCGGCTTCCTGGCTAGGTGAGACCCTGTGCAAGTTACTGAAGCAGTCTCTGCAGTGTCATCTATAACTTGGGGACAACACACATAATTGGCAGAGATGACACGAAACAAACCCTGCAACACGCTCGGCACAGGGTGGGCACGTGGTGATGCCTGATGTAAATTAGAAGTTACTATTTTATAAGAAATTGAGGTTTGCCTCTCAGCATGGCCATTCCTTTTACTTTGGGCCAGCGAATGTTTTCTCATGGTTTGTGAGGTCAATCCACAGAACAAAGGAGAAAACAATGTCTCTAGAAAGTGTGGTCTAAGCTGCTTATTTTCTTGGATTCCTATAGATGGCACACAAGGCCACTCCTGCCTCTTAATCAAAAATCAATCAATCAAGGTTACCTCTATGGGTGGAAGGTGAACTTTATAAGTCCTTTGTTTCTTTAGTTTTCTTTTTTTTTAATTTATTTGAAAGCGTTGGGGCTGATGCTGTGGCATAGAAGGTTAAGCCTCTGCCTGAAGTGCCGGCATCCCATATGGGTGTCTATTCGAGTCCTGGCTGCCCCACTTCCCATCCAACTCCCTGTTAATGTGCCTGGGAGGGCAGCGGAGGATGGTTCAAGGAATTGGGTCCCTTCCCTGATGGGGAGACCTGGATGCAGCTCCTGGCTTCAGCCTGGCCCAGCCCTGGCCATTGTGGCCATTTGGAGAATGAACCAGTAGGTGAAAGATTTCTCTCTCCTTCTCTCCTCCCACCCCCTCCTCTGTATTTCTGCTTTTCAAATAATTAAATCTTTTAAAATTAACAAAAAAGGCAGTGTTACAGAGAGAGAGAGAGAGAGAGAGAGAGAGAGAGAGAGAGAGAGAGAGAGAGAGATCTTCCATCAAATAGTTCATTCCCCAAATAGCTAAACAGCTAGGGCTGGGCCAGGCTAAATACAGGAGCCTGTCAATATGCTAATCCTCCACCTTGCGGCGCTGGCACACCGGGTTTTAATCCCGGTCAGGGCGCCAGATTCTGTCCTGGTTGCCCCTCTTCCAGGCCAGCTCTCTGCTGTGGCCAGGGAGTGCAGTGGAGGATGGCCCAAGTGCTTGGGCCTTGCACCCGCATGGGAGACCAGGAAAAGCACCTGGCTCCTGCCTTCGGATCAGCGCGGTGCACTGGCCACAGCGCACCGGCCACGGTGGCCATTGGAGGGTGAACCAACGGCAAAGAAAGACCTTTCTCTCTGTCTGTCTCTCTCACTGTCCACTCTGCCTGTCAAAAAAAAAAAAAAAAAAAAAGACAGGAGCCTGTAACTCTATCTGGGTCTTCCACATGGGTAGCAGGGGCCCAAGCACTCAGGCCATATTCCGTTGCTTTCCTAGGTACATTAGCAGGAGCTGAATTGGAAGTGGAACAGCAGGAACTTGAACCAGCTGTCATATTGGATACTGGTGTTTTCAGGGGTGGATTAACCTGTTGTACCACAATGCTGGCTCCTCCAAACACCTTTTGAAAAGCACTATTGAATATGCTTTTAGTTGAAATTATTGTCATTAAACTCAAAGTTCCAAAGGTAGTTCCTTCTTTTTTTTTAAAGGAAAGCTTTTTTTTCTGTTTGTTTTTTAAAAAATACTTATTTATTTGAAAGGCAGAAATACATAAGAGACAGAGATCTTCTATCTGCTGGTTCACTCCCCAAATGTCCAAGGCTGGCCCAGGCTGAAGCCAGGAGCTTAAAACTCAATCCAGGTCTCCCACATAAGTGGTAGGAAGCCAAGTGCCTGGGCTAGTACCAGCTGTCTCCCAGGGTGCTTGTTAGCAGGAAGCTGGAATCAGAAGAGGACCTGGGACTCCAACTCAGCCACTCTGATCTGAGATGTGGGCATCCCAGGCGGTGTCCTAACTGCTGCACCAAACATCTGCCTTCTGAAAGCAGTTTTCTCCTTTAGTTCATCGGTAAGGAGTCTGCTCAGATCCAAGTGATCTAAGTTCAGTTTCTATTTGCTCCTTGCTCATTAAGAGACACCATTAAATGGGCCAAGAATCAGGTCAGAAATACTGCTGTGTGGCTGGAGTACTGCGGAATGATGTACTACCTTATGTGCCTTAGAGAGCACTACGTGCATTATTTAGAACACTGATTGTGGAGGAGCAGGCGGTAACAGCAGGGCTCCCTATCTGAGAAGGGCCAAGCAAGCATCAGTTGTCAATGGAGGTGTATCACCGCCCTTGGAAAGCACAGGCATGTCAGGAAGAGGGTGAACCATTACTTGAAAAGGAAAAAATAATCCAACTAGGGCTGCAGTTCCTCACCATTTTACTCCACATGGAAAATCAGGCATTAATGCTCTCCTTTCTGCTCCCACACAGAAGGAGATAATGGCAGTAAGGTAGGATAAGTGGAGGGACTGAATTCACAGGAGAATCAGGAAGAAGACACAGTCTCTGTTCGTCATAGAATCACAATCACTGCCAAAAATGTGGCTTGTCCTAATTTTAACACAAGGATAATGTTAAAACCATAGAAGGCCAGCTCACAGAACGCAGAGGTCCTTGAGTGGAGAGGCCATTGCTTGGCCAAGTGCTGGTGTGGGGCTGCCTTGTGTTGTGGTCTCAACATGCCCTAACAAAGATGGCCAATGTCTTCTCCAGGCAGCCCACAGGCTGCAGGCTGAGCACGCAGCATTAAGCCCTGGTCCTCATCAGCCTAATTAGAACAAGTCCCAATGTGTGGGCTAAAGCTGCTTATAAAGGAACTTGTCACTTAGCCAAACTGAGAGCTGCAGTTCTTATCTAAACACAGGATATACTCCCGTGAACTCGGCTCTGTCAAAGCTAAGACAGGAGCCTGTATGGCTATCAGTAATGAGAAGTACAGACTGTCCATCCAAGTTGTAGAATATAATTCTGCTACATGCCAAGATATGGCTAACTTTATCTTTCAGATTCTCTCTCTCAGATTTTCCTTCCACTCAAAATAAACCTGCTTCCCAGATGCTAACTTTTTTTTTTTTTTCCAAGATTTTATTTATTTATTTGAGAGACAGAGTTACAGTGAGAGGGAGAGGAGAAGGAGAGAAAGGCCTTCCATCCAATAGTTCGCTCCCAAATGGCCGCAATGGCCAGAGCTAGGCTGATCCGGAGCCAGGAACCAGGAAACTCCTCCAAGTCTCCCACGCGGGTGCAGGGGCCCAAGGACCCAGGCCATCTTCCACTGCTTTCCAAGGCCACAGCAGAGACCTGGATTGGAAGAGGAGCAGCTGGGACGCGAATCGGTGCCCATATGGGATGCCAGCACTGCAGGTGGAGGATTAACCTACTGTGCCACAGCACCTGCCTCCTCCAGATGCCAATCTTTATTGAGTGTTCACTGGTACCTGAATATGCTTTATGGAAGAGAGCAACTGTACCTGAAGGTCTATACAATACAAATGGCAATTTAAAAAACACTCTTAAACATTCTTATTAAGGTATAACTGATATGAAATAAACTATACACATTTCAAGTGTACCATGACAGGTTTTTACATGTGTGTATTTATACCTGTGAAGCACTGCCACACTCAACATAGTGAACATAATAGATTTAGTTGCAAGTCACTATTACAGAATGTGTGGACTTATAATTTATGTAAGTATCAAGGCATGTACTATTTTAATACCTAATTTATACTATCTTAAATACTTATTCTACACCATTTTAATATTTCATCTACACTATCTTTTTAAAAAAATTTTTTAAAAAATTTTTTGACAGGCAGAGTTAAGACAGTGAGAGAGACAGAGAAAGGTCTTCCTTTTTCCGTTGGTTCAAGCCCCAAGTGGCCGCTATGGCGGCTGGTGTGCTACAGCTAGCGCACTGTGCTGATCTGAAGCCAGGAGCCAGGTGCTTCCTCCTGGTCTCCCATGCGGGAGCAGGGTCCAAGAACCTGGGCTATCCTCCACTGCACTCCCGGGCCACAGTAGAGAGCTGGACTGAAAGAGGAGCAACCGGGACAGAATCCGGCGCCCCGACTGGGACTAGAACCTGGGGTGCCGGCGCCGCAGGCAGAGGATTAGCCTAGTGAGCCGCGGCGCTGGTCAATCTACACTATCTTTTAATAGTTAATCTATTCACCTAAAAATGCCAATTATAATAATACCAATTGACTAGAAAATCAAGTGAGAGAAAAACAAAAAATTTTAAAAAATTTTAAAAAATTCCTGGTGACTAAAAAACTATGTTGTGTGCTAAAACAGTCAAGCCAGTTCCCAAAGAGGCCTCGCTTATTTGTCTCACCTCACACTCTTACACCTTAATGAACGTACTGGGAATATATCCTTATCCAACGATGACGCACAGTAGAGGCCTGCGGAGAAACTCTATAACTTGGCCTGAATTTAATTTGCAGTTAGCCTGGCCTCTCTTTTAACCCCTCCTCACCTATGTTTTCTGCCCTTAATTATAGCTCTATTTTCATCTTGGGAGGCAGAACTGAGCCACCAAAAGGAAAAATAAAAGTCGATGATGTCATTTGCAATGTGCTATATTAAAGTTGCAACGCAAAAATGCACATACTCACCATAAAATGCTAACTATTCAATTAAATTCACCCAATGAAAGAAATAAATGTTGCCTAAAGGTTTCACACCATCGAAAACGCTCTTTAGTTCCACCTACCTGAACGCCTGGCATTGGTTTCCCATTCATCCGTTCCCTAGTTCAGATAGTGCCTGCCCTGCACTTTCTAAAAGTCTTTAATAACTGTGCTAAAAAGTGAGTCAATTTGGAGGAGTCAAGTCAAGCATTTCAGTTTTTAATAAGCACCATAAACCATCCCAACTAAAAGGAGAAGAGTCTGCATTCTCACCTGCTAGAAGGCACTGGGGCAAGGCATGAGCTCCATCTGACATACAGACTTACTAGGACTGAGAAAATAGAATTTAAGGTGCTTTGAAGTATTAGCTGTGTATACTTATTTGTGTGTGTCTGTACATTTGTGTTGTATTTTAGAGCACTGATTTTTACTGTTATTTTATTTGAAATGCAGAGATAGAGGCAAAGAGAGATCTTCCATCTGTGGGCCATTCTCCAAATGCCCACAACAGCCAAGACTGGACCAGACTGAAGCCAGGAACCCAGAACTCAATCCTATGTTGGTGGCAGGGACCCTGAACCATCACCTGCTGCCTCCCAGGGTTCACATCAGCAGGAAGCTGGATTGGACGTGGAGTCAGGTCTTTTTTTTTTTAATTTTTTTTTTATTTTTGACAGGCAGAGTGGACAGTGAGAAAGAGAGAGAGACAGAGAGAAAGGTCTTCCTTTAGCCGTTGGTTCACCCTCCAATGGCCGCCGCGGCCTGCACGCTGCAGCCGGCGCACCGCGCTGATCCGATGGCAGGAGTCAGGTGCTTCTCCTGGTCTCCCATGGGGTGCAGGGCCCAAGCACTTGGGCCATCCTCCACTGCATTCCCGGGCCACAGCAGAGAGCTGGCCTGGAAGAGGGGCAATCGGGACAGAATCCGGCGCCCCGACCGGGACTAGAACCCGGTGTACCGGCGCCGCAAGGCGGAGGATTAGCCTATTGAGCCACGGCGCCGGCCGGAGTCAGGTCTTAAACCAGGTACTCTGATACAGGATACAGGCATCTTAAGTGATAATTTATCTGCAATGCCAAATGCCTGTTCCTATATATATACGTGTTTTAAGGAGGAAATTAGTAAGGTATAATAATGGAGAGGCAAAAAAATCTGATTTAGATGTTATACAGTCTCTATTAAAATTAAAGAAGCACAAGTTGAACTTTTCTTCTTAATTTAAGAAAGTTTTCATGGACAAGTTTAGATTGATTGCCTGCCATGATTCTAAGCCAGTAAGTTGTTCAACGTATGTTGGGGGGTAAAAAGGAATAGGGCACCTGTTCTGTTAAATGAGAGAAATCAGTGAGGAGAGAACTGAGTAGAAGACAGAAAAATTGACCTTGTATATCAAGATTAGCAAAGGAACCATATTTACTGGCATAAAATTAAAATTATATACCTCTAATATCTGGTCACCAGCCCAAAGCCTCCCATCTCTGGCTGCTGCTCCTTCTTCATAGACTTCATGTATAACTATTGCATCCTATAAAAAACAAATCACTATTAATTTTCAACAACCACAAGTGTTTCCTTAAGAAAACAATCAAACCACAGGCAGCAACCTATAATTTGCCAATAATGTTGTATCTTCTCTGACATAAACAAGACACACAGCCATGTGCTATTCAGAGATATAATTAAGGTCTCCTATGATTCGTGTTAAACTTTTCCCACATGTTTTACTGTTACCCTGTATGCTGCTGCCATGCATGAACTTGAGGTGAACTATGTGTCATTCTCATTTATATTTTATGATGTATTTTGAAACACGGTTGAGACGGGTTTTTATGGGTATTCAAAGATTTGGTATAAATGTGTGGCCTGATTAAGGGGGTTTGCCAAGCCTCATTACTTGGGCAATGAAAGAGAAGGACATAGTGGAATGAATCAGCCCTGGAGGACAAGGCATGGGATAGGGGAGGCAGGCATTGGACCTAAGTGTAAGACAGCTGTGGATCTGAGCTCTGACTGCCATTGTGTCATCTTGGACATATTAATGCCTCTGAACTCAGCACTCTGAGCCAGGAAATGAGGACACCAAGATCAATAGGAAGTAAGCGTTGGTTTAAGAAAAGTATTTCACAGTTAATAAATAATGAATAAAACAATCTGTATCAAAATTAATAATGTTAAATATTTTTTTATCAACATAAAAATCACATTACCAATGTAAAGGATTCAGGCAATGACAGGTGTTACAAAGACTGCCTCCCATCCTTGGCCTTGGTCCTGTTCTCCCAAGGCAATCACCACTAAGGGTTTCCAAAGGAACTCCCTAAACAATTCATATTTATTTACCCAAATATTTATAGTTTGGTGGGATTATTCTAAATTATTAAACTGAATTTGTTCACACCACTTCCCCCTCTTTCCCATCCTGTTGAACAAGAAGTTAAGCTTTGAAATTCCTTGCCTTGGGGCTTCTTGTGTGCTGACAACTAGAGCAACCAGAAATCACGGGCCCCTCCTGCTTTTAATAAAAGTGAGGATACTGAAAAGACTGTGTTTAGGTGTCTTGGAGGGCTGCCGGGTGAGGTCAAGAGCATTTCAGTGCAGGCTGGATACAGAGGTCTACAGATCCACAGTGAGGAATTTCACCTGTACTCCCCGGGGTCCTCCATTCTCTGTTCTGGACACACGCAGGTTGTGAAACCTGCAGGCAAGCATCAAGGGTGAAGGCGCAGGGCAGACTCCAGGCACAATGGATCCCAGCCTTGAAAGCAGCCCCATATCCAAGCTGCAAGCTCGTGGACTTAAAGAGATAATGCAAGCCTGGGCAACGATGGGCTTGAAGATTACCAGCGTGGACTGATGGTAGTGATCACAGAGCCTTGCCAGTGTCTGTGTGTTTTGTTAAGACCCTGGAGAGTTAATGAGCCACCAAAATGGCTGAACTCCGTATTAGTCCAGAAGGATGGCACTGCAGAAGTTCACATTCAGAAAAAAATGAAATATTTCTTGTAAAAATATGAGGGCACTTCAAAAAGTTTGAGGAAAAGGAGAATTAAAAGATTTTGCAATGGGGCCAGTGCTATGGTGTAGTGGGTAAAGCCATCGCCTGCAATGCCGGCATCCCATACAGGCACTGGTTTGAGACCTGGCTGCTCCACTTCCGATCCAGCTCTTTGCTATGGCCTGGGAAAGCAGTAGAAGATGGCTCAAGTCCTTGGGACCCTGCACCTGCCTGGGAAGACCTGGAGGAAGCTCCTGGTTCCTGGCTTCGGATCGGTGCAGCTCCGGCTGTTGCGGCCAATTGGGAAGTGAATCAGTGGATGGAAGACCTCTCTCTCTTTCTCTGTCTCCTTCTCTCTCTGTGTAACTCTTTCAAATAAATAAATAAATCTTTAAAAAAATGTCGTAGGGGCCTAGTGCTTTGGTGTAGTGGGCTAAGCCTCCACCTGCAGCCCCAGCATCCCTTATGGGTGCCGATTCGTGTCCCACTGCTCCTGTTCCAATCCAGCTGTCTGCTTACAGCCTAGGAAAGCAGTGGAAAATGGTCAAGAGCTTGGGCCCCTGCACCCACATGGGATACCCGGAAGAAGCTCCTGCCTCCTGGCTTTGGATTGGCCCAGCGTGGACCATTGTGACCATTTGGGGAGTGAACCAGCAGATGAAAGACCATTTGGAAAGCAAACCAGTGGATAGAAGACCTCTCTCTCTGTCTCTCCCTCTCACTGTAACTCTGCCTCTCAAATAAATACATAAATCTTTAAAAAAAAAAAAAAGGTGCTGCAAAATTTTTTGAAATCCATGATAGTTTTCTCATATTACAAATTTCCATGAACTTTTTGAAGACCCCTCATATAATAAGTGATGGAAAAAAAATTCCAAGCCACATTTACTTTCTTACAAAATACAAAACAAACAAAAAAAGAAACAACACAAAATAACCCTTCCTCCACTGCCCCTGCAAAGAGAGGATTTTTTTTTTTTTTTTTTGGACAGGCAGAGTTAGACAGTGAGAGAGAGAGAGAGAGAGAGAGAGAGAGAGAAAGGTCTTCCTTTTGCTGTTGGTTCACCCCCTAAGTGGCCGCTACTGCCGGCACGCTGCGCCAATCCAAAGCCAGGAGCCAGGTGCTTCTCCTGGTCTCCCATGCGGGTGCAGGGCCCAAAGATCTGGGCCATCCTCCACTGCACTCCCTGGCCACAGCAGAGAGCTGGCCTGGAAGAGGAGTGACCAGGACAGAATCCGGCGCCCTGACCGGGACTAGAACCTGGGGTGCCGGTGCCCCAGGCGAAGGATTAGCCTAGTGAGCCACGGCGCCGGCCTAGAGGGCTTTTTAAAATACAAATTCTGGAGTAGCGAAGCAACAACAACAACAAAAATGAAGGGGGCCTATAACTGAATCACCCCATCTGCATTCCAAATACCTTCACAATATTGAATACTTCCATTCTACATCTGTACAGTTCTGAAAACAGTCCTTATGATAGCAAGAGCCAGAAAAGGTGCCATGATCCAGGCAATCCATTTTTCAGATCTTCTACCAGCAATAGATCTAGACTTATGGAATTTCCAGACCCAGGGTGTTTTCATGCTGGCAAGAGTCTGCTTCTCTGGACGGTTTCAGGGGAATGATTTTGCGAAAACTTGCTGCGTCAGCGACCTGCAGTGAGCTCCACAACACAACCAATATCCCAACAAGGGTCCACTGTACTGACAACACGCAGGCAGGGGTGCTGCTGCTCCTGGGAATACCTTCTTCAAGATGCAGGTTTGCCATCTGGTGCCCAAACACCTCATTTCACAGGAGCGGGAGAATCATACACTGAATCCAGACTACACATGGATTTCACAGGGCTTGATGTTCAGTATCAACTCCTTTGATTTTGATACATTGCAAATGAGAAAATTTTATCCATTCAAATTGAAAAGGAGAGAAAAGACCCGATGGGGTTTTTATTCCCTAAAAGTATTCTGAATCCAAAGCCCTTAGATGGACTCTCATACATAAAGAGAAAACACTGTGAACAGTCTCATAAATACTGAATGCATGGCCAATGATGTGATTTTGGCTCAAAAATCTTTCTGTATGAAAACTCCTCATTGGGGCTACTGCTGTGGTGCAGCGGGTTAACACCCTCGCCTGAAACGCTGGCATCCCATATGGGCGCTGGTTCTAGTCCTGGCTGCTCCACTTCCAATCCTGCTCTCTGCTATGGCCTGGGAAAGCAGTAGAAGATGGCCCAAGTGTTTGGGCCCTTGTACCTGCATGGGAGACCCGGAAGAAGCTCCTGGCTCCTGGCTTTGGATTGGCACAGCACTGGCTTTTAAGGGTGCACATTAGCAGGAAGTTGGGTCAGAAGTAGGGGAACTGAGACTAGAACCTAGGAACTTGGATATGGGCTGTGGGTGTCCCAGGTGGTGGCTTAACCTGCTGTGGTACAATGTATGCCCCCTATTATTTTAAATAAGGAATTGGGAGTTGATATGTACCATGATTCTTGTTTCCTTTTTTATTTATTTTTAAATCTATTTAAAAGGCAGATAATGAGACAGAAATATGTGTATGTGCATGTGTGTGTGTGTATGTGTGTGTGTATATACACACTTTCATTCCCCAAATGCCTGCCATAGTGGTGGTGGTGGGGCTGAAGTCAGAAGCCAGGAACTCAGTCCAGGTCTGAGCCATCACTGCTGTCTCCCAGGGTCTGCATTAGCAGGAAGATGGAATGGGAGCTGGATACTGAATCCAGGTACATCGATGTGGGAAGCAGGTATCATAACTGCTAGGCAAAGTACTTATCCTCTTTTTTTTTTTTTAATTACTTATTTATTTAGGAGACAGAGAATGTCTGCAAGAGTTGGGATAGGGGCCAACTTCAGGCTGATGCTCTGAGCCATGCAATCTAGGTCTACCACATGAGTAGCAGGATCCCAGTACTTGAGCCATCACCTGCTACCCCTACGGTCTACATTAACAGGAAAGTAGAATCAGGAGCTGGAACCTGGAATTACATCCAGGTACTCTGAAAGAGGATGCAGCTGTCTTACCTGGTGTCTTAATCACCACACCAAATCCCCATTTCACACATGTGATTTTTACCTCCTTTTTGGATAGCTTCCTAAATTTTAAATTCTAGAGCTATTCAAGCAAAATTGCAGCTCTGAGTGACTTCTCCCCTGCTAGCCCTTCCTTTCTTTGCATATTTAAATAATAGCCCTCCACTCAATAATACCTGGGTGACTCTTAGGCCTGTATTCCTGGATCAGCCTGTTCATCATCTCCCTGTGGGAGGATTGCTGGCTTACTGCAAGGCGGGGTCAGAGAGGGGAATGGCTATGAGAAGGCTCTGGAGTCGGAGCTCCTCCATCTGTATCTTGGCTGCTACCACAGGCTTGGGAGGACTGTTAACGACTCCAGGTCTCAGCTTTGACATGGTTTTTATGACATTATCTACAGATAAGGCTTATGTATTGTGCCAGCACACAGTAAGGGAGTGATAAATGCTATTTTTAATATCAGATGTCTGTTCTCATTTATTTAACATCTATGTGCCACAGACACTACACACTTTCCACTTGTACCATTTAATCCTCCTAGCAACTAAGCAAGTTCAGTATCATTAGTTCCATTTACAGCTGAGGAAATGGAAACTCATAAGGGTTCAAACTTGACCAGGTCTTTGTAGCTTGTAAGGAGAGAGATGAAATTCCAACTCGAGACTGCTCAGCACCAAGGCCTGTGCTCCCACCACGAACACAAGCTTCTCATCTGTTTTGAGTATTTTATTTTGCACTTACACAAAAGCGAAATTGTTTTTTTTCCATGTGGTATCAATTCTGTTGAAATACTATTACCTCAACGCTGCAGCCAAAACCTTGAGGCCATGAGTTGATCATTTTATAGACAATGAACAAAAAGATGACTTGTGGAAGTAGAAAGCAAAGCCTTTGGTCTAATGAGGTGAGGTGATGATCTATGAACCTCGCAGTGAGCCTGGGCTCAAGGTTAAGGGACTGCACTACACGTAGCATGAAGGGTAGGCTCCCTCTCTTAACTCCATCTGTTATTCTTTTTTTTTTTCTTGCATCCTTCATCTTTTCAGTCCTGTTTCTGTCCATGCCTGTTATTTATTGACTAGATAACATTTTTTCAATGAGAGGATACAAAGCAACATTATAACAGGTACAAGCAATAAAATGTTGTCAAGATAAAAACTTATTCAGCCCAAGAAAACAGATTAATTTCTGTTAATAATGGCATATACCTTAGGATCATTGATAGATGACCAAAACTGACAGAATCAAAAACCAATGTCTTCCTAGTAACTGTGCTACAGGAGAAACTTCAGGAAGACGACCACTTTGCTAACTGAGACAAAATCGACAATGTCCCTCTGGATACTTGAATCACTCACTTGGCACAGTAACTACAGAGCTAGGGCAGAGTTAGGCCAGTGGATAGGGAAATCTCTCAGATGTTGGGTTTTCCTAATCAAAAGAGGCAGGCAGGGTTCAGGGAAGTGGGAAGAGCCTTCTGCTTACAAACGCTTCCCTCAACGACCTATGTCTGACATACATTTAATAGAGGAAAACTCCTGCATTCTACAATTGGAAAAAACACAAAAGGAAAAAAAGACACCCTGGAGGAAGAAGCTGGCTAGCAAATCGATTGTATTGATGAACTACTCTCTCAATGTCTCCAGTCCTAAAAGTATTTATGTTCAAATATAGATAACATATGCACCTGGTACTAAACTCAAAATAGTACACACAGAAAAACTTTTTGCTACCGCTTGTCCCTAAGCCACCCAATCTCCCTATCTATAAACAAACAGCATGACTTTTTTGTGCATTTTTTTATAATGAAATCCATACTTCTTTTTTTAAAGATTTATTTATTTATTTGAAAGGCAGAGTGAGAGTGAGAGAGAGAGAGAGAGAGAGAGAGAGATAATATCAATCATCTGCTGGCCCAATCCCCAAATGCCCCCAATGGCTGGGGCTGGGTAGAGCCGAAGGCAGGATCAAGGATGCTCCATCCAGGATGGGTGTAGGGGCCCAAACACCTGGGCTATCCTCTGCTGCTTTTCCAGGCACATTAGCAGGGAGCTGGATTGGAAGTGGAGCAGCTGGTGCCCCTGTGAGATGGTGTCATTGCAGTCGGTGTCTCAACTGGCCATGCCTCAATGCCGATCCCTCTGTGTATTTTAAAAAAAAAATTTACTGGGGGCAAGGTTCTGGCTCAGCAGTTAGAATGCTGACACTGCATGTTGGGGTGCCCCCATTTGAGAGTCCTGGCTCTGTTTCTGATTCCAGCTTCCTTCTAATACCTTGGAACAGCAGGTGATGGCTCAAGTATTTGGGTCCCTGTTACTCGTGTAGGAGACCTAGATTAAATTGTGGGTCCTGGGTTTGGCTTGGCCCAGAAGCAGCTATTGTAGTCATTTCATGAGTGAACAGCAAGTGGGAGACCTCTCCTTCTATTTGACTTTCAAAAAATAAAAATAAAAATAAATAAGTAAACATCTTATTTGTTTTGTTTTCTAAGATGTCTCTTATTTATTTCAGAGGCAGAGTTTCACAGAGGGAGAGAAGTCTTCCATCTGCTAGTTTACTTCCCAAATGGCCACAACAGCCAGGGTTGTGGCAGGCCAAAGCCAGGACCCAGGTGCTTCTTCCAGGTCTCCCATGTGGGTGCAGGAGTCCAAGCACTTGGGCCACCCTTCACCGCTTTCCCAGGTGCATTAGCAGGAGCAGGGAGCTAGATCTGAAGCGGAAAAGCCAGGACTTGAACCAGTGCCCATATGGGATGCCAGCACTGCAGGCGGTGGCTTAATCTTCTACAATACAGTACCAGCCCTTATTTGTTTAAATTATTTGAAAGGCAGAGAGGCAGAGAGAGAGAGAGAGAGAGAGAGAGAGAGAAAGAGAAATAGAGAGAGGGAGAGAGAGAGATGGAGAGCTCCCATTTGCTGGGTCACTCCCCAAATGCCTTTAACAGTCAGGGATAAGCCAGGTCAAGGTGAAGGGCCGGGAACTCCACCTAGGTCTCCCACCCTGGTGGCAGGGACTCAGCCACTGAACATGCCCACAGAGCCAGCAGTAGCAGGAAGCTGAAATAGAGAGCAGAGCCAGGACTCGCACTCCGACGTGGGATGTTGATGTCCCAAGCAGTGCCTTAACCCCCAGGCCAAAAGCTGTCCCTCTTGTGTACTTTTACAGAAATATCCTGTATAAAGAGCTCTAACATGCTTGAAGGTCATGCCTTCTTTTATTTGCTGCCTCCTTTGTTTCATGAAATTCTATTAGAGGCAATCAACTGCCACTGCTTCAATGAAATCTTCTCTGACTGTCGGGGAACGGGACAGCCTGGCCAGCTGTGCCCCTCCCGACATGTACAAGCACAAGAAATTTAGTGCTGGGCTTTTTCCACCCTGCCCGTTGCTAATTGCAAGATCCTGTTTTGACTTTAAGCATCCTGTTATTGCATGTTTCCCACACTTACTCTTGTTGAGTTGGTAACATGTTTTCCGTGAATCATATATAAATAGGTGGACGGTGGGCGGGAGTTATGAATGAACGCTGGTAAAAGGCGGAGTTGTGAATGAACGCCGGTAACAGGCGGGAGCTGTGAATGAACGCGAGTTATAAGCGGGAGTGGTGAATGAAGGAGTTGTGAATGAATGCCGGTAACAGGGCGGGATATATAAGAGGGTTGGAGGAGGCGAAGACGGCGGGCGTTCGCGACATGTAACGCGAGTCTGCTGAAAAATAAAGTGGAAGCTGAAAAGCCGATAAACGCGTCTGGTGTCTCCGAGGTCTCGCCGGCGTTAACCTATCCGGAAGGTGTACGCCTGCATCTGACTTCTTCCCTGGGAAAGTTGAATGCTCTTTTTGTGGGTTGCCACTAAATCTACTAGTATTATTGAACTTAGCACAGTATCACAAGTGATTGACTGTCCATGGATCTATGTCCCATACTATGTCCTGTTCACGAAGGACAATTTCAGGACCTGGCTACTTGCAACTCATCATGGTATCCTGGTGCTGAGCCCAAAGGAAGCACTTAATAAATGCTTGCTCAATGATTATCAAGAAATTGAGATCAAAATGACTCAGAAAAGAGAGGTTGGGGCTGGTGTTGTGGTACAGCAGGTTAAGATATTGCCCGTAGAGCATCCCATATGGGTGCTGGTCTAAGTCCCCTATGCTCTGTTTCAGATCCAGCTCCTGTTATTGGCCTGGGAAAGCAGTGGAGGATGGCTCAAGTGCTTGGGCCCCTGCACCCATGTGGGAGACCACAAGAAGCTCCTGGTTCCTGGCTTTGGCCTAGTCTGGCCCTGGCTGTTGTGGACATCTGGGGAGTGAACCAGTGCATGGAAGATCTCTTCCTCTTTCCAACTCTGCCTTTCAAATAAATAAAAAATATATATACACATTTTTAAAGTCAGA